ATTTCAGGAAAGGCTCTTAATACAGGAAAGATTTAAGGTGTAACCACACAGAAAGGTGGAAACACAGCTAGATATTAGTGGCAGCAGTTTCAGTTTTAAACATTTTTTGAGCTTGTTTAAAAAACATGGATATTTGTTCAGTTGCAACTCCTGTAATATCAGTGCTGATCCTTCAGGTACCTCGGAGATTTAATGGAAAAGTGAGCTGAGATGCACATGACAGCATCAGACCCAGCAGCTGTCAGACAAATGGAAAACCCAGCTTTCCTCCCCCGCCCTGAGCCCATCCCGATTTGGGTTGCAGATTTTGCTATGTCACCTTAGTCAAGATACCTAATCTCTCCTGGCCCACTTTCCCCAAGTATAAAGGGAGGATTTGCACAAATGTTCCCCAAGATTACGCCTTGCTTAACTCAGTTTCTAAACTATGTCTTCCTTTATCACCTCTGGGTGGAACAATCCCTGTTTATTACACAGCATGAAAATAAAGTTTTCAGCCTCTAAATATTCCTTATTCTAAGTTTCAAGGGTTGATGCCTTATCAGCATTCAGGGATTTCATCAGCAAGTCCACGTTCACGCTGCTCATCCACACTCACCAGGATTTCACAGACTCAGGTAACATTCTTCTTCTGTGCTGACCTCAGAACGGCAGGCCTCCTCTTCATCACCTTTGCTATTCTTCCCTGAGCTTTCAACCCACCTTTCCACTTGGAATTCAGCAATTAAATGATATATCGGTAAAGAAAGACATGGTCTGAGTTTTGTTTATAATGATTGGTAAGATTTCTCTGCTTAACTTTCAAAACCTTTCCTAATAATAGCATTTTATAGATATTTTGATGGTGACCACAGTGAACACAAAGTGGCTAGAGAGCTCTCTTTCTGAGCTTGAGTGATACCCAGGAGACATGATGACCATAGTTTTCACCATTTATTCCCAAATCTAAGTTTCTTGTTCATCACGTAAGTCACAAAATTGTGAAAGAACTTCATTTTATACCCTGCTGAGACAGCACTACATTTCTACATAAATTTTACTGTCATCTCACCTTTCTAAAACAAATACAAATTTAATATGACAAATCCTTGCAGAGATTCCTAGAGATCCTGCACATTCCATTTCATTTTGTTCAGTTAAGCATGTTTGGTGATTTAGCAACAGTCTGAACGAATCAGAATCATAGTTTTACAAAATATCTAGTTCAGCCTCTAACCAAGCAGGACCCCTATTTATGAGATCTCTAGAATAGTCATCTAACCCAGTTGTATTACAAACAAGTTGTATTAATTACATTTTATTTCATATTTTTGATGCTTTGACATCTGGGGCCTTAAGAGAAGAGGGCCTACCCCACCTAGGTTAGCCAATCCCTGGAGAAAGCAAACAACTCTCCCCTTTCATTTGCAAACCAGCTGATCCAGAATCCCTACCACCACCCAGCCCTCACACTCTAGTGTAGTATCCCATCCTGAACACCCAGGGCAGGTACCAGCAACTTGGGACAAACTCATAGGCCCACAGCCTGCTGAAACAATTCAAACTAGCCAGTCCTAAAGATGCTTACCCCACCTTGCCCATGGAAACCACTGTGATAAATGTTCATGCCATGCTATCCCCTTGGGGACCATAACAATCTGTCTTCTTCAAGAGCAGTCATCCCCTGATCTGTGGGCACTCCATACCTGAATAATAAAACTTACAGTTTAGAACAATAGTTACAACAAACCAGAGACCAGAAATTCCTTTCTTAGCAAAGCAGCAATTTCAGCAGTGAACTAACAGGACAGTTCTTTCCTGTCTTAAACTGAAATGTTTCCCTATACCTTCCAAATAATTCTGGCTCCAGGTCAACAGAGGATAGATCCAGAAATTTTTTTCAAGCAATTAATGATCACATATCTGAAACACACTTGTGATTATCTTCCCTAAAACACATTTGTGACAATCACACACAAATCTATATTTTTTGGCTTTATTTGTGGTCTCCATATGATGACTTAGCATTTCACAAGTCATCCTGGCTTCAGTAGCCCACTGGATTTAACATTCTAACACTCCCAGTCTTCTCAGATTATTCAATCAATCATTCCTGGATTAATTAAGCAGACCCTCAATAGCTTTGTTCCACTGGCTTATCACTGTCCTTTTGAGTTGCGCTGTCTACTAGAACTGCTCTACTCCACTTGCAGCTTCACTCAGAACTATTTCCCTAGGTCTGGGGACTAGGCTTGTACTGGTGCCCGGCATGGCATGGACTAAAATTTCTGAATCCTTTAAAATAAATTGTCATGAAGCACACCGTAGCCTATAATTAAATGAGTTATGATTGTACTGCAGCTTTTTACATTTTATGATGCAAAATTCACCTTTACCTAGTTAACAATCTGGTAGTTTCAGCCAATACTGAGACAATTTTTCATTTAAATTTCTATACAGCACTTGGATGGATGGTGTGTGATTTCATTTATACTGCTAATATATACCCGCTATGTAATACTGTGAACCATTATTAAAGAACAAGTTGAAAGTGAGTCTTACATAGTATTCAGCAAATGGAAGAATAGTTCATTCTTTTGTATATCCACTCATTCACATGAAGAGCCCAATTAGCTCCCAACAGTAGTCCCACACAAGGTTGCATAAAAAACACAAATTAAAATAAGTGTAGTTGATTATGTTCCATTTGAGTATGATGCTTGTGTATATCTCTGTTCAGAGAAATTATAAAGTTTTTATTACAAATTTTTTTTTCATGTATCTAGTATCACATATCAGCACTATATGATAATCCTATCTAGTGCTTTTGCCATTATTTAAAAGAAGTTGTGTTTTATCAAGATTTGTCCAAAATTTTCAGCTATACCTTTGCTGGTCCTTATCTAGACTTACACTAAGAAGCAAACACATAGTAAAAAAAGGAGACATAACCAACAATATCATGCATGCCTATTTTTGTTGATTTAGAAAGGCTTTAATTCAAATTATTCTTTACAGTAAACTTCTAAACTAACTTAGTTTGTAATCCAACTTGCACAAATACTCAAATAAAATTAACTGATGAGTCAAAGGCAAAAAAAAGCCAAAGTATTAGTTTCTGATTTTTATATGTAAAACTGACATTTTCATTTTCACATATCTCACATTACAAATCTCTTGCAATATTTTAATCACTGAAATAACATGGATAATTAATCATTGAATTTCAGTCTGAGTATGAAAAAGTACACTAGTCTGAATAGATGTATTTTTGCAATATATAGACTCAAACCAGTGAACAATATTTTCAGCTAGAAACAAATGCAGGTCTCTGCTAAAATGTTTTGTATCTCATCTACATCTCTATTTAGCAATTATAGATATTAAGTTTTGTGTATATACTGTATTTTACTTATAATCTAGTGGCTTCATGAAAGACTTTTATTTCTAGGTTTCTCCAAGCTCAATGGAATTAAAAAAAATTTTTGAACGGTTTAGGTTTACAGAAAAATTGAGAAGATAGTAGTTTCTTCTATACATCCCCTCTAACCTCTCTCCTTAACGTCTTAGTTATGATACACTTGTTACCATTAATAAAGGAATATTGATACATCATTATTAAGCCCATAGTTCATTCACATCTCCTTAGTTTTTACCTATCTTCTTCCTGTTCCTGGCTCCCACAATTCATTCACTTGTCATGTCTGTTAGGCTCCTTTTGGATGGGGCAGCTTCCCTGACTTTTTAAGTCAGGGAAACAGCTTCCCTGGTTTTTAAGGACTTTGACAGCAGTATTTCCTAGGTTTTTTGGTAGAGTGCCCCTCTACTAGAATTTGTCAGTTTTTCTCAAGATTAGACTGCAGTTACAGGTTTTTTGGAGTACTTTTCCAATGGGGAATTTGATACCTATAGATGAAAAACACATATGGACTTCATCAAGCTGTCACCATGGACACAAAGCATATATCCTTTTTAGTACTGTGCCTATTCTGTATGATTAGAAGCAGAAAGGACAGTCTTGGAAAAGAGTATGATGATAAAAGGGGCCAGGTTTTTAAAAAAAAATAAGAGACCGGTAATTTCAGTTTGATTTCCCAAGTTAAGCATTTCTTTATGAATTAAAACTACTATGACAGAAAGTCAGACAAAAATACATAATACATAGTTTTGTTCAATTCTATGTAACTTCAGAGGTAAAATTTGGGATTTATGTAAATGTTACTCAATTCTATCTAGAGATGTTTTCGAAGCACATTGTGTCCCATTTGTGTCTACCAAATAAGCTATATATAAATACACAGGAATCTCTTGCCTATGTATAAATATAGTCTACCTTAAATCCTTAGGAAACTTATAGCATATGCAATTATTCTCAAATCCTCTCCCTTGAACTTGTATCGGAAATCACCTGAGGAAACTCGTCCACACAAATTGTCCACGGGGTGCTGTTCCCAGCAGCTTCTGATTCTGTGGGTCTGAGGCAAGGCCCCAAGTTCACTTCCAAATCATTCCCAGGTGGTGCTGACGCTGCCTGCTGACATCATGGAAACCACTGCTTTAGTCAGCAAGGGAGCTACATACATGCAGTAAATGCCTCTGATAGTTGAGGTCTTATACATGTATCAGTCTTCATTTTTCTAGTTACCGAAACTTACCAAGCAAGTGAGATACCCTTTTATAAATGGGGAACCTGGGCTGAGAGACCAAGAAACTCACCTGAGGAGATCATGGGATCACATGGAAGAACTACAATTCAGATATAAAATCATACACCATGCCACTTCTTGTTGATGAAGGAGTGAATGTATGCATCCCTGGCTAACTCATCAGAAAAGGAGATTGTACCAAAGATGTATACAGTGTTGATTCAGGTTCGTAGGGTTAACTACAGGACAGGGACTATTAATGAATACCAGACAAGGCTCAGGGTCATGGAGAGGAGTCACTTGTCTCTGAACTAATCAAGGATAAAGTTCACTATATAATCAACAAAATGTGTTTAATACAGTACTAAATATTCCTTAATTACTACTATTTTATTATTGTTTACAGAAAAACACACACTTAAATAAGTCCTTAAAAGGATAATCTCCTTTACATGTAAACTGAAAGCATTCTACGATTCTAAATGTCTGGCAGTGTACTCTGCGTCACCCATCAACCACTACTCAGCCTGGTACTGAAGTAACACAGCAAGATGGTCTTCAAAAAAATGCTGATAATTACTAAAACATTTATCTCTTTTTACAAAGACAATCAAAAGCAATGACATACAAACAAAATCAGCAATTTAAAGTTGAAAAAGTGGTGTATTTTACAGTAAATGAATCATCAAAAATGAGGTTGTCAATACTGTATCTTCTGTCACTTTATTACACTCTATATAAAAAGGACAAAGACACAAAGCTATTGGACTGCAGACTTAAAATACTTGATGAAGGCTAGACATCAGAGTGACAAAAATAAACTGCCCAACTCTACACTTCTATAAAAACAAGTACTTTATGTAAGAGAGATTCTCTTTAAATATCTGTATACATATTTCCACTTAATACTGTTAATTAAACCCATAGTTTTTTTTATTTAAATAAGATTTAAATAAACTACCCAAAATGCTGATTCCATATCACAAAACATTAGGTGTTTTTAATTACAACTTCAGGTGCTATCCTGAATACACTGGTTCCTTCCACAACATTAACAAGCATATGTTTAAGAATATATTTTTATCTATAGATCAGGTAAAGCTTTATTAAACAGTAAACACTTTTCAAAGTACAGAAATACAAGTTTCAAAACAAACACATTTAGAAGATCTGCTGTTCAAATAATATTTTCTCAAAACCAGGTGGAGGAGTATGATAAAATTCACTGAACTGGCAATCCAAAATTGCACTGTCATCAACTAGAAACAGAAAAAGAAAGAAAATAAATTAGAAGAAAACACCTTAGTCTGAATGAATATGTAACTATCAAACACAATATTAATAACAAGAATAAATATATCTGCTGTCCAGGTTACGAAACGTGATTCTACTGTGTAAAAATATCCACAGTATCTATCAAAAACAGTGAAAGCATATACACCAAAATATTATTAATAATTATTTCTAGATGATGTGAATACTGGTGATTTCAATTTTGTTCCTCATTTGCTTATCTGTATTTTCTCAGTTTTATACATTAACCGAATTACTTTTTTTTAAATGACTTATTTTGAAAAAACTTATTTTGAGAAGTTCAGAAATAATAGAGTCCTGTGTATCCTTCATCCGGCTTCCCCCAGGGATAAGATCTCATGTAACTACAGTCAGAAAAATGACACTGACACAGTACTGTTCACTAGACTATTAACTAGGCCTTATTCAGCTTCAATGTGTTTTAACCAGCATTTACTGAAGAGAAATGAATGTGTGTATCTGTACAAAGACCTACATGTGAATGCATATAACAGCTTTATTTGTAATGGTCAAAAACTAGAAAGACATTAGCATGTGAATAGAAAAGCAAACTGTAATTTGACCGCAGAATGAACTACATGTTACCTGGCAGTAAAAATGAACGAATGATCAATACATGACACATGGATGAATCTTATAATACTTGTGCTGAGTGAAAGAAGCCAAACCAAAAAATGATCTACAGATAATCTGTACTCATAGAAAGCAGATCAGTGGTTGTCTGGTTGGGGCTTGGTTGGAGGAAGGTAAGCACGAAGGATACGGGAGCAGGAACTTTTAGGAGGTGTTGAATATATTAATTATATTGACTGTGATAATGACACATGTTTATTTTATAGCTATTTGTTAAACTGCAAATATACATTCAATGTAATTACTAAGTATTTTATATTTCATAATAAATGCACAAAAAAAAGCTAAGTACTAGATTTGACATTCATGTAGTCATTAGTGATTTTAACAAGGGTGGTTTCAGTGGAGTGGTGAAAGCAGGAGAACGGATGGATGATACAGTAAGGACACTGGGGTAGCCTGTTCTGTAAAAAAGGGGCCATAGAGAGAAAGTAAACACAGGGCTAGTGAGGGGTTGAAGTATAAGGGAGAGTTTTTTGGGCTGAGACTTTCTCAGAAAGTTTATAGGCACTGAAAAGAAAGATTGGTGACCAGGGATGTAGATGAAATAACTGACAAAGTGAACTCCCAGAGCTGAGGATTTTGAAATCCAGACTACAGACAGAGTTTTTTAACACAAAGGGTACCACTTCCTCAAAGATGGGAGAGAAAGAAGGCAAGACAGAAGTTAACCTAGAGAAGCTTCAGGAGGGGAGTGGAGGAAGCTGGAGCTCCCTACGCACAGCCTGTTTTTAAACTAGAAGGTAAGGTCATCCATGGAGACAGAGTAGGGAATTCAAGGGGCAGCCACGGTCTAGAATGTGCAGAGATGTAAAAGAATTGCCAAAAAATACTGAGAGCTTTGGTCAGGCTAGAAGTCATAACTTTGTGACACCACTTTTCTTCAGTGTTAAGTTTTTTCTCTCCCTAGGTTGAGTGAAAGAACTGACCAAATAAATGACTTGGGTGGGTCTAGAACTAGGGACGGCAGGGAGGACAAGAAGTGAGGGGAAAGTTTTATTTTCACCTTTGATAGTATCAGACTACTAAAATATTTGATTTAATTAGACTGATTTACCAATTTCAAGATATGTAGTATACTATACGTAATTTACTATCTGTAATGTTACTACATTAAAAATAATGCTTAATCAAAGTGACAGTTTAGAATACTTTTCTTTGCTCATTTGTCTAATTCAGTCATGCTGGTGTTCTTTGCATTTCTCAGACTAAACTACTTCAATTATTAGGGTGAATTTCCATTTACTTAAGTAAAGGAAAACTAACCTGAATTAAAAATTACACTTATACATGCAAAAACACAGAAGATAAAATCACTGAAAAGTTAATGTGGGGGGTGGGGGAAAGGGGAGGGCTTTGCAACACAGAGAAGACAAGCAGTGATTCTACAGCGTCTTGCTATGCTGATGGACAGTGACTGTAATGGAGTTTGTGGGGGGGGACTTGGGGTAGGGGAGAGCCTAGTGAAATAATGTTCTTCAAAAAAATTAAAAAATCAAAAAAATCACTGAAAAATTATTTTTAGGAAAAAAGACTAGTGAAAATCTTGACTGAAAAGGAAACCACAGCCTTTGATTGCTATTATACTATAAAATATCTATATTTGTTATCTGTATACTCTTCTGACATCCCAAATAATCTGCTGTCATTAACAGTACTGTATTTCTAGCAACTTACTATAAAAATAATTAGTTTTTATTATGGCTCAAATCTTAGAACTTAGAGTAAAAAAATGAGAGAAAGTTTTTAGCGTTACTTAAACTACAGGCAGAAAATTCACACATCTATCGATTTAAAGCTGATTTAAAGTTGAAATATCAAATGAAAAAATAAAGCAGGATGATAAAGGCACTGCGCTTACGTTTGTTATTTCTTATAAAGAGAGACACCTTACTTTTAGAGGTACACATAAACATTCATGAATAAAATGATTTAATGTCAGGCATTTACCTCAAAATAATTCAAGCAAGGAAGGTGATGAACAGGGTTAGGAGGTAGATGAAACCTGATTGGCTCCTAGCTGGTAATTGTTTAAAGCTGGCTAATGGGAACATGAAGGTTCATAACACTATTCTCTACACCTCTATACATTCTTGATATTTTCTATAACAAAAATAGAAGTAATTAAATGGTATAGTTATTTCTTAAGGAAACTAGTTCTCAGAGGGACACAAATCACAGGCCAGAAACTGTAGTACTTATACATACAGGGCTGTCAAAAGCCAATCAATCAGTATAAAACTGTTCTAAGTCACAATTTCCCTCAGAAGAGTTTTTAACACTTAGGTAATTTTATAAAGGTAATTTATGCTCAACCTAAGTAAAATTCCCACCCTAGTTCCAAAATATCCTTTACAGTTATATTTCCTGGTCACCTAATCCTCTCTGACAAATGGCAGAAAGATCCTTGTAAATTCAGTAAAGCTTTCAGGAACTATCTTGAATAGAAAACTACATGATTTTTAAAAAAAGAGCATACAGTTATTGCATATTTAAGTATAATCATTGTATTTGGCAAGTTTTTTTTCAAATATATGGGAATAAAAATTGTCCTTATTTCTACAAAGTGAGGCTGTGATTTCCTAATGGGCACATTTCATATGAAAGGTTCCTATTGTCTTGTCCAGACTTCTGAAGGCTAGCTATAAAGTAAATGGAAATGCCAAGCAGAAGTTCACACATGTCTAACAATATGTAGAAATACTCTTGCTTACCATACACAACTGGGTACACTGTCCCTCGTATGCCTGATGCTGGGCAATGCATGTTTTTTCCATTCAAATATACATTCAGTTCTACATGGTCATATGTAATACCCTAGAAAGGAAAGAAAATATTAAAAAGGCTACAGACGTAAGTGTCCCTTAAAACCTAAATAGTCAGGAAGTACTCACTGGGAAGCATGGATACACAAAAAACTAAGCAAAGGGTCACAATAGTTTCCATTAAAGGTTTACAATTCAGTAGTTCTATGTGAACTGAGCTAAAAGTAACTAGCGGTGATTATTATATGGGGGGGGTGGAATTAGGTAAAATCTCTAAAGTGCCTATTAGGTGTAAAATAACCGAGAACAGTTTAAATCATAGTACTAATTCAGATGAGCTGAATGTTACATTCTGACTATTAAGACGATGCACAGTGCTGCATACCGTGAACGAGAGGCCTTTTAAACTCATACACAGAGCTGCTCCCTCTATAGAATTTATCTTAAGTGGAAAGAACAATAAAGTTTTCAGCATTAGGGCTCACTGCCTGGTATCACTGTTTTCAAGTTGTGAAGAAGTGTCTTTTAACAACTTATTTCCAAAAAGAAATCAGACATTTCTGTATCTCTACCTTGGTTTCAAATATGTGAAGTGCATTACAAAAGTAAAGCTGATGTTTGTGACTGAATATAATTGCTAATTAATACCAAGTTAAAAAACAGAAAAATAACGGCTCAAAAATTTTAAAGAAAGCAGAATAAAAATATATTACTTTGTACGTTATGATACAAAAATCACAACAGTAATAATGAATATTATGGCTAAAATGCTGGAAAACACTTAGCCTGTGTTAACGTAACATGGACTATTCTAGACACTTCAAATTTAATCTTCACAAGATAGATATTAATTTTATCCCCATTTTACAGATGAGGTTGCTGAAGCACAGAGAGGTTCAGTAACTTCCCAAAGGTTACATGGGCTACAAAGTGGCAGAACTGGGATTTAAGCCCAGGCCGGAACGTTTCAGAACACATAAGCTTAATTGCCACACCACACTACCTTTCTTTAAAACTGTACACAATAGTTCCTAATTACCAAAAGAGAAGTTTCCTTTGAAGAGGTAACAGCAGAAATCTTCTACACAGAAATCATCGCAGACCAAGAAGTAACCACTTTAAGGATTTCTGACTGGATAAATCATCAACTTACAGGGTTTGGGGAGGTAAAAAGAAAAGATCTTAGAGATTCTCTAAACCTTAACTCCTTCATGCTCTGGTTAAGAAAGCACAGGCCCAGAAAAATCAACGTGTTAAGGGCTATATAAAAGATTCTCCTCGAAATGTGGGATCCACATATAAATCAAGTATAAAAATTAAATGAATATTCATATTTGACCTGATTGTTTATAGTTCATAATGCGTGGTCAAAACCAAAAGTTTCTGTGATGACTGCCCTTGTACTGTTCACCATGTAAGAACTCATTTACTATGTAAGAACTTGTTCGTTATGCTTCAGAAGATTGGAGACTGACGAGAATTAGGCTTGAGATGGATTAATGATTGTACATTGAGCATTGACCCCCCTATACAGAATTTTATTGTTGTTAACAACCACTTGATCAATAAATATGAGAGATGCCCTCTCAAAAAAAAAAAAAATTAGTCACATGGATGACAGTACTGCATACAGAAAATAGTCAATATTTCTGTAACATCTATATTGAAAGAGAGTAACTACAGTAGCTTGGTTGAACATTTAAAAATGTATAGAAATATGAAGTCACCATGTCATATAATTGAAAGCAATATGATACTGTATGCCAACTGTTCTTCAATAAAAGCATCCATAAACTTAAAAAAAAAAAAAAAGATTCTCCTCAGGTCTTAGCAAAGCCAGGGTTAGAGAATGATTTATTAATAGTCAAGGAATATTGAGAAAAATAAACAGCCTTCTTTTGTATCATTTTGGTTTATGTACTTAAAAATAGAAAAATAAAGCTAACTGATGGTTGGTATTAGCTAATTTAATCAAGAGATCTGTTTACATTTATAAAAACAAAACCATAATTACATAAACAACAAAGTGTGTCACTTTCTTTATAGGACAAGAAATCTAGCAGTTCAGACCAGTAGGGCTGTAATCCAGGCCCCCCTCATCACCTGGTGACAGCACACCCTAATACAAGCAAGTTTTAAACGCAAGCCTCCAGCTTAACAGCAAAATCCCAGCACCAAAGAAAGCAGTGAGGAGAGAAATGAGAAGGCCCACACCCTCCATCAGCAGAGTTTACATCAAGTATTTTCTAACTTAATTCTGTACTTTTATATGATCTAGAAAATAGGTTTGATTGCACCAAAATGTCCAACAAATCTGATGTGTTCTATGCACTTACCAATAATTGCTTGTAGGTTTAAACAGTGAACAGACTCTGAAAATAGACTGCCTATGTTACAAATCTGGGATCATCCCATACAAGAAGTGACTAAATTCTTCCTAAACTAAATTGGTGATAATACTACTACCTTTTCATAGGGTCACTAGTAAGGTTAAACAATTTAATCCTTGTCAGGCACTTAAAACAGTGCCCGGCCAATAATGAATGCTAAAGAAGTGTTTGTTGTTATTATTATTACGTAGAATGTTTATAAAACTCTGAAATTAAAATGAAATGCAACTTTGAAATGTTATTTGCACTTGTCAAAACTATACATGAAAGGACAAAGTAAGTGTAAGTTGTTTTAGCCATGCCTTCCTAGTGTTGTAGTAGGCCCTATGGATACCGTATGATTATTGTATAAATATAATCATTTGGTCGGATTTTTAAAGTTTATTTTTCTTGATTTCTCCTCAGAGAATGGTTACGACTGAAAGTCTACACATGAGAATATTTTTCCTGTTTTATAATCTATTCTACTTTCCCTATGCCACTGTCAGCATTTGGCCAAATTTTTTTCTGACATGTTTTAACTCGGAAGATAAAGTTCATAAGCTAGGGTAATGTTTTACTTTTCTGGATTCTCCATGTTTCATCTTTGTTAGTCCTCCTTTTATCAGAATGGACATGAAACTCAAAGTCCAATTTAATAATGCAGAGAGACTTTTTTCTCTTAAGATAACATTCTTAAATCTGCTCATTTGTGGTATCAGTCATCTCTGAACGCGACAGGAAGGCACAGAAGGTCAACACATCAGTGAAGAAAAACACTTGTTACCGACTATGCTTCCTTACGTTCAGGTGTCATCTTTCAGTGTGAACGAGCTGATAGCAGCAACCTGACCTCAAGATTCTCTTTCCAGAAATAACCGTTTAAAAAAGCTGTTCTAGACTATGGACACCTGGCAATAATCTACAAGTACAGAGCCAATGTTAAGTAAAGAGGAGGAGGGAAAAGTAGATATTAACATTGGTTAATGCCAGTCATCTCTTTTTTACATTAGTCAATTTAGAAAAAAATTACTTTCAATAATTTACTAAGTGAAAAACTGTTTGTCATATTTTTTAAATTGCAGAAAAGAGATCAGAGCATAATTTTAAGATCTTAATTTCTACATCTTTTCTTCACTCTCCAAAATACTGTGTATTTTTTTAACTCAAAAACCTAGATTTACCTTATCTGTATCATCTTATTATTAGAAACTTCCATCATTACATACAGATTCCTTTCAACTTGGTACCAGAGCCAAGAACCCAAAGTTCTGTGTATAAGGGAACCTTTGCTCAAGGAGACCCAAGGCTCTGCTCTCAAACAATAGCTAACCACCTGAACTCAGTGTATGAGGTTCTTGGACACCATATGAAAAGTATGTGGAAAAGACAGAACAGTATCTCTGGATGACATTTGCAAATAGTGGCTTTGGTAAAGACTTAGTATTTTGGGGGAATAAAAATACAGCAGTCTTAATAATATCTGACTCTTTCTATGCCCTGCTTTCCAAAAAACCTTTCTACCATCAAACCTTAGGATTTTGAGACCAGTTCTTTGAAATTTTTTAAGTGAAAGAAGTCTATTAAGTTTAACAAGGACCAACACTCCTAATAAAATGCTGTAATTCTTTTTTTTTTTTTTGAGAGGGCACCTCTCATATTTATTGATCAAATGGTTAACAACAATAAAATTCTGTATAGGGGAGTCAATGATCAATGCACAATCATTAATCCATCTCAAGCCTAATTCTTGTCAGTCTTCAATCTTCTGAAGCATAACGAACAAGGTCTTACATGGTGAACCAATTCTTACATAGTGAATAAATTCTTACATGGTGAACAGTACAAGGGCAGTCATCACAGAAACTTTCGGTTTTGATCATACATTATGAACTTTAAACAATCAGGTCAAATATGAATATTCGTTTGTTTTTTTTACTTGATTTATATGTAGATCCCACATTTCTCCCTTTATTATTATTATTTTTATTTTTAATAAAATGCTGAAGTGGTAGGTAGATGCAAGATAAAGGTAGAAAACATAGTTTAGTGTTGTAAAAGAGCAATTGTAGATGATCAGGTGTGTGCCTGTAGACTATGTGTTAATCCAAGCTAGACAAGGGCATTAAAACATCCACGGATGCAGAAGATTTCTCTCAAAACAGGGGGTGTGAGGTTCTAAGCTTCACCACTGTTGATCCCCAATTTCTCACCCGATGGCCCCCCTGCGACTGTGCCTGTCTTAGGTTGTTCCTCCCTTGAGGAATCTTACCCGTCTCTGGCTAACCAGTCATCTTCTGGGGCCATACAGGGAGATGTAAAGTTGGTAAGTGAGAGAGAAGCCATATTGTTTGAAAAGGTTAGCATGGGAGGATTGATTATTTCTTTGACATATCTTCCTATAGAGTAACTTAAGCATGTATAGGTTTTAAATTACTAACTAAATTGCGCACACATATTAACATAATAGGAATACAGTTACATAACCAAAGCAGATCTATAATTACAAATGCTGTAATTCTTTAAGACAAGTTCGTAACAAATAATAAGTGGCAAAATTTCTTTAAGAGGTCACCAGCTGCAGAAATACCTAATTATTTTCCAACATAAGGTTCAGAAAACTTTTAAATTGTGGGCCAATATTTATCAGGTTGTAGAGAAGCAGGAAATGTTAATCAGTAGGCAACCTGTCATCAATCCCCTGAACAGAAGTAAGGACTTAACACCGATTTTCCTGGCCAGCACAGTTCTAGAAAGAAGGCAATTAAGTAAGGTATAGTATCTACATCAAGTGCTCTCATAGGAAAATGTAACACCTAATTAGAACCAATCCCAGCGCTTTGGAATTCAAACCACAAACTCCCAGACAAAACTATAAATACTAAAGGCACTTCGTTTAGTAGTTTACAGTGGAAAACAACTCCACAAGAAAACTCACCACCACGTCTCCTTCCTGTGGAAGGCTGTTTGCTGGCAGCCTGTTTTTCTCCTCGTTGTTGTGGTACAAGGCTCCATCATTTCTCATCACCAAACTGTGCACATCTCGGCCAAGAGGAATCTGATTCAAGTTAACTTTCTGAGTTGCAACACCAATACCCCAGATTCCTAAAAAAATAATACTTTAAATGCTCCCCAAATTGAAGGATACAAATATGACTAAAAGCAGTTGTTTTAAAAGACAGTGTAAATTGTTTTTAAAAGAAGTGGCATAATATGTAGTACAGATTTTTATGTGGGTTTTCTGTAAAGGATGATAATCCTAAAATAAATGCATTTGATTGGATTTTTAAAAGTTTATTTTTCTTAATTTCTCCTCAGAGAATGGTTAGGACTGTAATTCTACACATGTTCTCTGCAGACATAGTATAACCTAAGAGATAAGACAGTGAGCTCTGGAGTGGTACTGCCTACACTTAAATCCTGACTTAGGTCTGTCCTCAGTAAATCACTTAACCTCCCTCTGCTTCCTCAGCAGTGAACTGTGGATTCTAACTCACATCACTAAGTTATTGAAAGATACGGCAAGATAATCCAAGTAAAACTCTTGCAACAGTGTAAGTATTCAAACAAAATGGGTAACAAAAGCACAGAGCATTTTTTTTAAGAAAATGCTATTATTACAATTCTCTAAAAAATATTTTCATAAAGTTCTACATTGAATTTAAATGGCCTGGGGTTCTATTTTAAGAACTGTATCTGACAAGTGGGAAATTACTGTCTTCAGTTTTTACATCTATAACGTGACAAAATAATATATGACCTGGCCAGTATCATGGAGAGGAGAAAATTAATTATGAAGTGTAAAATCATTTTCTTATCCGATGGCTTAAGTCAGTGAGTTTAAAACCTTTTGGCTTAAACTAACTTTTAAAGCAAGCATCTCTACTCCTAACCAGGAAAATAGAATACCTAGAGCTCTGAGTTTTGTCTCAAATGGTTTGCTCATCAGTAGGTATCAAACTCAGTTTCAAGAAAATCTATAAATGTGATAAATTTGAAGACCACATTGTCAGTCAATTTTTCTGGTGAGTGGGAGCATTAAAAAAAAGCTACGTCTGGATTCCACTGTATTGACTTCCTAAAAAAACTTCACAATATAATTTATCCTCCAAAGTGGGACAACTTTAATAAGTCACAGAGGTGAGAATACTAATTGCATGGAACAGGTCTAGACAGTATTCAAGGCTCCTTTTTCCAAAAGACTGTAGCAGGCTGTAGTACACTGTAGCACAGCTGCCTGACTTCCACTGAGAGACCAATGCTACATGCTGCAACAATGCATTCATTCTAGGATTATCATCCTTTACAGAAAACTCACGTAAAAATCTGTACTACATATTAGGCTCAAGAAAATACTTGCTCCTCTTGAGAAAAGGTATGTTCACTTGAGAAGATTACAGTAACCAGAGACATTTTGCTGCTAACTTATAAAAGAATGGAATGCAAGATAGATTCAGATTTATTTCATACACTTAAGTCAGTATTTTAAAATAATTTAGAAATCTAGCCCCAGAAAGATGTTTTATTTCATTGAAGCTTGTAAGAGGACTGCAAGTAAGAGGATTAATGCACTCCACTCTAGGTTTCCTATTAGGTACCTATTATTAGTCATGCTCTATTTCATTAGGAGTTTCTTTATAACAAAGCTTTAAAAAATATTTTCCCATATTTTAAATGCAACTACTGTAACACTTAAGTAGACTGTGACACAATTCAAAAACCTTCCTAGATTTTTTTAAAGGGAAGTAGACTTCAGAAGACATTCTATGTATGTTAACACAAGCTAAGAGAGAAAATCGGGATCATAACATTGATTTCATCCTGAGATAAAATAGCAGGACTTTTACACCTTCTGTGTTGCCCGAATGAAACAGCGCGTCTGGCTGTCATGCACAGCGCTGGCGCCTCGCACTGATGCCGCCTGTCCTGTCGTAACACTTCCACTCGCACCGCTCCTGTGCCAGGCGGCTCCTACCATCCCGTTCCATAGATGAGAAAACTGAACCTAATTTAACCAAATTAACGAACTTCACCAGGGCCACACAGAGGTGGAACAAAAGGCTTAATTTTCATGTTTAAAAACTACTCTGTTGAGAGCAATTAGCACTTTTAATAGTAAAGTCCCATCATACCAACCTGTGGACTGAATTTTGAATTCAAAGTAGCTCTTGTTTTGATGCAAAGGTGCACTGGCTAAACAACCTCCGGTTCCACATATTCTCCTCCCATTTTTTACGATGACAACATCTGTTCCTAAATAAAACATACACTGTAAGAAGTTAGGTATTTTCTTATCCAACAACACAGGTGAATTTGTGTTGCACTTGCAACTTCCAATGCACAAAGGGATGTTGACGGTTCTGAAACACTCGTCTCGGTAAAGTCAACCTCTCAAGCCGCCGTCTCTCCCTGAGACCCTGGGCGGCCCGCGGCTGCAGGCCCGGCCTCGGCGCAGCTCCTCGCAGCGGACGCCTGTGGGCGCGGGCAGGCCCGCGAATTGAAGTCCAGGGCCCCGGCGGCGCGCCGCGGGAGGCGGGCGCGGAGCGGGGCGGGGCGAGGCGGGCGCCGGGCCGCGGTGCAGGTGGGTCTGCGGGGGGAGGCCCTCACCCATGTGCTGCGTGTCCAGCTGCACGGCCGGCATCTCCTTCAGAGGGACGTGCCCCGTCCCTCCGTCCCTGCAGCACCGCAGGCAACAAAACGCTGAGGCAGCCATCACCGAGGCTCCTCCGGCGGCACCGCCCCGCCAGAACGCCGGGGTTGCCGTGCGGAAGCGGAGCGACGCGGCGACGCCCCACGCCGGAAGGGCGCAGCGCAGGCTGAGGCGAAGCCGGCTGGAGGGACCGGGAGAAGAAGCGGCGGCGGATAGGCGGCGGGCGGCGAGCGGCGAGCGGCGTGCGCTTGCGCGCAGGGCCGTTGGCGAGGCTGGCCTCGCGCCTGCGCTCTGACGCCGACGGGTGCGCGAGCCGCCTGCGACCCCCCGCGCGGGGGCGGGAGCTGCGTCGGGTCGTCTTGCTCCGCCCCCTCGCGGGCCTTCCCTTCGCGGGCCTTGCGCCCTGTCGGGCGGCGGGTCACGGAGGTGGTACCGAGGGTCCGTTCCCGCAGAGTTGTTCGGACTCGAGGGCGGAGGAGTGCAGAGGGACCTCTGGAGGCCGCGAGGTCCTGGCCCTGCCCCTTCCCGCTGCCCGTGGAGGCCCGCGACCGCCCCCGACGTCCCCGTGCCCGCTTGGGTCACCTGTCCCTGGCAGATTCTACATATTTAGATACCGTCCGGGGGCGGCCTGGGTCGACTCCTAAAATTAATCTGGCCCAAACCTCTGTTCCCAAATAAAGTTTCCATCCTGAAGGCTTACACAGGGTTCACGCTCTGCTGGGAAACCGGACACAAAACACTCATTACTGTGTCATGGGTTCCTATACAAAACTTTCTAGTGACGTGAATACAAATACCCTTTATGGAGAGTTTTTCTCCACATAAAAGATCTTTTTAGGGTCCTGGATGTCTTGCTTCCATAAGAATGGTGTTTCAGTACAACCCTTAGGAAAACTGTTGGCCCGTTAGCTGTGTCTGGGGAGGTCTTCCCCTGGCTAGGTGGGAAGCACTAGAAGAAACCTCAGCCCCACGGGAGGGTTCTTGACTCTGGGCCAGAAAGATTTCTCAAACAGGTCAGACGAGTGTAGTTGAAAGAATTCACTAAAGCAAGAACAGCAGGGAATGGCAGCTGCCTTGCTGGCAGCAGAGAACAGGAAATTGCAGAGGGAAGGAGAGAAGGAAAGTTCTCGGCTGAGGTCAGATACTCCTGCCAACTCCTGAAGCCGGGTAACCTGTCATCCTGTGTCCACTTGGATCTGCATGGCATGGGGACTAGCCCCTACCACTCCAGGATTTAGGGGAGCCACGGCGCACAGGAGGGCAGGAGATTATATTTTGAGAACTTCCCAAAGAGAGGAGATTTTCAGGCAGGTTACTAAAAAGCAAATGGCACAACAGCAGTTTCGTCCAGGTCACCCAGGTGACGGAAACATGCAGGTCCAAATGTGAGCTCTTAGCAACCCTGTCCTACCTATTTGGAGTAAAGCACAGATAAGAGTGAACACTTGGAAATGAAATGGCAAAGAGAAAAACCGCAATAATTTGAGCAGTGAGAAAGCTGTATTTGAAAGTACGCACTTAAAGACAGGAAAGTTGTGGGTGTCCTCGGGAGGCGCACTGAAAGTTTGGGGATTCTGGCTTTCAAGGCTTTCAAAAATGGGGCAAAGGGGGAGAGGTTGTTGGGCATAGGCTTAACTTTTCTCAAGGTGCTTATCTTTGGTGAGAGACACCATGTCCTCCTCTCCTCTATCAGTCCTCCAGCTGATTCTGCTAAATAAACCCAACACAAGGAATTTATTTCTCCTGTTCTTCTCCAAGATAGTGGTTACCTTCAAGTAGTGGGGACATACTAGTTAAGACTTCCTGCCCTGCCTTAAGATAGGCTGTTGGGCTATTGTCTGATTACCAGAGAATATGTTAGGAATCTTACTTCTCAAGTCTCTGCTTTTTAAAATGAAATCTTAGCCTTAAGATGGCATCTCTTCTGTTTTTACTATACTGTTTATATCTCATCATTTTTCGCCATAGGCAGAAAAAATTAATTATGGTGCTTGTCCCATGTCCCTGCCTTACCTCACTCTTAAATGGGCTCTCAGTTCAAAATGCAGATTTGCATTTTATTTTTGTGTGTTTCATTAATCTGCATATTAGCTATAAGGTGCCACAACTAATGTATAGACAATTGTAACTCCGAGGAGAGGAAATCCTGGGGCAAAATAACTCTAAAACCAAAATCAGTCAAAGGGAGAAATAAAGTTTAAAACATGTTTATTGTTTACAAACTGAAGTCCGGGGCCATCTCTCTTTCCTGTTCTGGCCAAAGTAAATCAGACCTCCCCCTCACCTCTCAGGTTCAGATAAGCCCTCGGTTGCCCAGGTAATTACCCACTGATACAGAGAAGAACTTTTTTCCACCCCTGAAGAACACCTACTGATATGCAGATACACTAAAACCAGGCAATATATTCTAGAAATATTACCATTTTACCCACAAGCCACCCATCCAGAAATCTCACCTTACAATCTACTCGTTCCCCCTCTTCTGAATTGGTCTGTGGGTGAGAAAACTGGAGCATTGTAAGCAGATTAATGATGTACAATAGCAACAGAAATAAAATAATGATAATCCTCAAGCCAGAGGATTCAGCTATGTTCAAAGTCTTACGCAGATTAAGTCCAAAGCTCGTCCATTCTATAGGCAGGCAGTAGCCGAAGAGGTAGACAGTTCAGAGCAATCATTATACGGCAGCTGCAGCCAAAGGGCACATCCAAGCCACAAGGACTGTAGAAAATAACCTTAATGGCAATAAGATACATGTTTTAATGACACCAGCATAGGCAAAACTTGTCCATCAGGTAGGATACATGCAAGAGAGTAGTCCTGTGCTAAAACAGTGGCAGGAAGGGGATCTCGTCCTGGTTTAGTCTACCAGACTTTCACTCCCCTCCCTATGACAGTTACAGATGGGTCAATATATAGGGCTCTGGCCATAAAGATAAAACAAAACTTCCCCATAAGATGCTCTTACCTCCTGGACGTTTTGGGTACACTACCGTGATCTTTGGGGGCCACTCAGCTGTTACTCCAGGAACACACAGAAGGCCAGCTTCCAGGCCTTACCCCCAAGATGCCAGAAGGGCCAGCCATCACTGGTCCATGTGTCAAAATGTCCAGGGCCACGTCCATTCAACAGTGTCTCTAGGGTTTAATGCAGTAGGGGCTGGCAGCAGGATGTTGCTCTGCTGGCCATACCCTGGCTTCAGTAACTCTTCTTTCGTTTGGATATACAATTGTATAGGAGAGACAGCAAAGTGTGTGATCATATCCATGGGGCTCAAAGCCTTTATGTGGCTTCTCATTCAAATGCCTCATTCAGCACTGTCCATAGGAGAACTGACCAGCCCCATAGACTACTTGTGTCCAACTTCAGGCCAGATTTCAACAAACCATTGTAACTTAATATCATGCCTGCCCCGGTAGGATTACATGGTACATGAAATTTTCACTTTATTCCTAATAACCCATCCTTGTAACACGTCTAGTAAACTGAGTGCCTTGATCGCTCCCAATCACCTGCAGCCGGCAACAGGTTGCAAACAGATGCTCCAGGCCCCTTTTAGTGGCTTGCTGATCTGCATGATGTGCAGGAAAAGCGACCAATAGTCCAGTAGCCATGTCCACACCAGTCATGGCATACCGATATCCTTCTGATATGGGCAGAGGCCCAATATAGTCTCTTTGCCACCTGATAAGGGCTATCAGCCCCCTTGCTATTGCCCCATGTTGCCGTGGGACTCAGTGTAAGTCCCTCAGAGCACACAAGGCACTCCTTCCGGGCTCTGGACTTCTTCAAAGGTCAATGGCAAGCCCCACCAACAGGCTACAGCCCACATTGTCTTTTGCCCTGTGTGCAACAAATGCTGGTGTAGCCATTGGGCCACATCAGAAGCAGGCTTTCCTTCTAGCAAGCGCACCTAGGCCAGTGTGTCTGCTTCATCTCATTCCCTGGGGATGACAAAGGCAAATGACCAATCACAGATATAAGTAACTGTCTTAGTCAGACCAGGGGCCCATAGATCTTGCCACAACTCTTGCTCCCAAAGGAGTCGGTGACCAACCATCCAGTTGGCATGGTACCATATAGGTACCCACAGTGTCAAGCCCCGATATACGGCCCAGCTGTCAGTACAGACAACTATGGGGAAGGGCTCCTGGGTGATCATGAGCCATACTGCCCACAACTCAGCCCACTGGCTGCTCCTCCCCTCTCCATCCTCCATCTATATTGCCTCAGTCTTAGGAAGGAAAGCCACAGCCCTCTACTTCGGGGACCACGTGAATGGAGCCATCTGTATGACAGGCATCTTCAGGTATAGGGGCTTTTCCCTCCTGATAAGGACTCTTAGCTACCAATGGCTCAAAAGCAAGTTCTTCCTGCTTTCCACTAGTATATAGGTCACTGGCCCCAACAAGCGTTGGAGTTCTCCACTTAAGGGGCTAGAAGAGGGTGCTGCGCTGCTTTAAATACACGCTCCATTTGGCCAGTGTAGGCGTCTGTGTCATACCACTCCATGGCCTTTGGGTCCAGTCTTGCACCCACTCCACGATGGGATAGGTGGTTATTACCTCGATCGGAGCTCTTCTGACAATGTGCTCCCTAGCCAGCAAGGCGTGGTACACAGCAGCCAGTTGCTTCTCTATCAAGGTGTACTGGACCTCTGCTCCTTTCCATAGTTGTGACCAGAATCCAATAGGTTGGTGTGTCTGTTCAAGCCGCTGCCAAAGACCCCATCCAGAACCATCTTAAGTTACATGAACATCTAGTTCACAGGGCCTTGATGAGTCCATTACATTCAAAGTCTATATAGCCTTGACTGCCCACTTGGCAGAGGTAAAAGCAGCTGCACATCTCATCCCAGTCCCACCTGATGCCCTTTCATACTAACCGGTATAAGGGCTTCAGAAACTGTGCCAAGTGCAGGAAAAACACTCTCCAGTAGCCCAAAAGACCCAAAAACTCTTTTAGTACTGCCATAGTGGTAGGGGTGGGGAAAGCCTGGGCCTTTTTCTATAACAACTTTAGTTTTACCTGACCAGACAACCCCCAGTAATTTCACAGAAAAACCAGGTCCCTGAACCTTGGTGCTATTCACAGCCCATCCTTTTTCCTGTGGATGTTGCAACAGTCTAGGAACTGCCCTTTCTAAATCTGAATAAGAATCAGATGTGAGCGTAATATCATCAATGTAGTGATACAACCACACCATTGGTGGTTTCTTCCATGTGGCCAAGTCCTGGGCTACAAGTCCATGACAGATGGTGGGACTGTGGAAGTATCCCTGTGGAAGGAC